AACATCACGCTGCTTGTGGGAGGACGCCAGCATCATTATCCTACTTGGATTCCTCGGAATCTTACTGGTGAATTCACTCCTATGCAAATTCAGAAAGAAGGCAATGACAGTCGAGAAGTACACTTTTGGAACAAAAGCCCGTGTTTCTTACATGTTTAGCATTATTTGCACGACTGTATTATTGAGCACTCATCTCATAATGCTCTTGATGCTGCAAAGGAGAAACGGTGCTCACTGCCAATTCAAATTTCCAGTTCTTTCATCTGAGATTCTGCAATCAACATCATGGGCAGCCTCATTTGTCGTGCTCTGCAGAACTCTAAATAGGAATTACATCAAGTTTCCCTGGGTCCTTAGAATCTGGTGGATTTCCAGCTTCTTTCTGTCTCTTGCTCGTGCCACTCTAGATGCCCATTTTGTCATCACAAGTGACGAACAACTCGGACTTTCTGACTATGTGGATATCCTTGGTCTTATTGCATCTGCCTGTCTTCTGGTTATCTCTATCAGAGGGAAAACCGGCATAATTCTTGACATCTCAGACAGCACAACTGAACCACTTCTAAATGGAAAGAATGAAAAGCATTCAGAAGCTAAAAGGGACAGTCCATATGGAAAAGCTACTCTTATCCAACTGATCACCTTCTCTTGGCTTAACCCACTATTTGAAGTTGGAGTCAAGAAGCCCCTTGACCAGGATGAAGTCCCAGATGTCGACTTCAGGGACTCTGCAAGATTTCTATCTGATTCCTTTGATGAAAGCCTGAAGTATGTAAAGGAAAAGGATGGAACCACAAACCCATCTATCTATAAGGCCATTTATGTATTTGCAAGGAAAAAAGCAGCAATCAATGCACTCTTTGCAGTTATTAGTGCAGGATCATCTTATGTAGGTCCCTACCTCATAGATGACTTTGTAAATTTCCTCAATGAAAAGAAACTTCGAGGGTTAAGAAGTGGTTATCTTCTTGCACTAGCCTTTCTTGGTGCAAAAATGGTTGAGACAATAGCACAAAGGCAGTGGATATTTGGAGCTCGGCAGTTAGGCCTTCGGCTCAGAGCTGCTCTGATATCACACATTTACCAAAAGGGCCTGCTTTTATCAAGTCAATCACGCCAAAGCTATACCAGCGGAGAGATAATCAACTACATGAGCGTAGATGTCCAAAGGATTACGGATTTTATATGGTACCTTAACACAATATGGATGCTACCCATCCAGATATCATTGGCAATCTATATTTTGCACATGAATCTAGGAAAGGGGGCACTTGTTGCATTAGGAGCAACTCTGATAGTGATGACTGGCAACATACCCCTGACAAGGATCCAAAAAGGTTATCAAACTAAGATAATGGAATCCAAGGATGAAAGAATGAAATCCACCTCAGAGATTCTTCGAAATATGAAGACTATCAAACTTCAGGCATGGGATAGTTATTATCTCCAGAAGCTGGAAATCTTAAGAAAAGTGGAACATAATTGGCTATGGAAGTCACTAAGATTGTCAGCCCTAACTGCTTTTATCTTCTGGGGATCACCTACATTTATTTCAGTGGCAACTTTTTCCGGATGCGTTATGATGGGCATTCCACTGACTGCAGGGCGGGTCTTATCTGCATTGGCTACATTTCGGATGCTTCAAAATCCTATATTCAATTTGCCAGATTTGCTAAATGTGATAGCACAAGGAAAAGTTTCTGCTGATAGAATTGCTTCATTCTTACAGGAAGATGAGATTAAACCCGATGCAGTTGAATTTGTTCCCAAACATGAAACGCAAGTTGGGATTGAGATAAAGAGTGGAAAATTCAGCTGGGACACAGAATCAAGAACCCCGACCCTTGATGGAATAGAATTACAAGCAAAGAGGGGAATGAAGGTGGCAATTTGTGGCACTGTTGGATCAGGGAAGTCAAGCTTGCTCTCTTGTGTACTAGGAGAGATGCCAAAACTGTCAGGGATTGTGAAGATCAGCGGCGAAGTGGCATATGTTCCTCAGTCTCCTTGGATATTGACTGGAAATATCAAGGAGAATATTCTATTTGGAAAACCTTATGAGAGTGTCAAGTATGACAGAACAGTTGAAGCATGTGCTCTGAAAAAAGATTTTGAACTATTCTCTGCTGGTGATCTTACAGAAATAGGAGAAAGAGGGATAAATATGAGCGGAGGTCAGAAGCAGAGAATACAAATTGCTCGTGCGGTTTACCAAGATGCTGATATATATCTGCTTGATGACCCTTTCAGTGCCGTTGATGCTCACACAGGCACGCACCTCTTTCAGGTGGGTTGTTAAGCAGGTCTATCAACTAGCAATTCTAGTGTTGGCTTTTCAAACCTCATTATCCATCTGGTGTGAGGTAATGTTATGGTATTTAAGTACTAATATTTACATTTTCTTCATGGCACAGGAGTGCTTGATGGGCGTTCTCAAGGACAAGACAATACTTTATATTACACACCAAGTTGAGTTTCTTCCTGCAGCAGATCTCATTCTGGTATGCAGGAAAACAGCATAAGTTTCAATTTGTTCCATTATTGCACCCAATTGATGTCATTTAACTGATAGAGCATCTGCATAATTTATGAATTCAGGCATCACCCACACAAAACAATGACCTGCCTGTACAGCGACTCTGAGAATGAATCAGATAAAAGAATTTCGAACGCTTTAGTTATATATACTTGTCTATATGAACACATCAAAGTCCTTTTAAGAAGGGATTTCATATTCGAATACACCTTATAATCCTGAAAAGGCAGGCCTTTTAGTTATGGGCTGAGCAAAAGAAAAATTGGGACAGTCATTTTTAAACTCTAGAAAATCCCAAAATAAAAAGATCTACTCCTTGATCAATTGTATACTTGTTGCACTGTGCAAACAAGCTTGAATTTGTTAGACCTTTCCAAGTATTTGGAGGTTGCTTATTTAGGATGCCAATATCATTTTAAACAATAATAGGAAGACTCTTTTGAATAGTAATACCTAGACTCTTATGGAAAATACTTGATGCATCTTAAGATTTGCAGAATTTTGAACAACATTCAAAACTATGATGTGAAAAAATTAATTCCAAAATATAACTCCTTAATATCAACAGGTGATGCAAAACGGAAGAATTGCACAAGCTGGTAATTTTGGAGAACTATTGAAACAAAATATTGGGTTTGAAGTTCTAGTTGGAGCACATAACCAGGCTTTAGATTCAATTTTAACAGTTGAAAGCTCAAGTAGAGTATCTGAACATGCAATTAATGATGGTGAGCTTGATACAGAAAGTAACACAAATGCAGAATTTCCAGTCACAAAGCAGGATTCAGAACACAATCTCTGCGTAGAGATAACAGAAAAGGACGGCAGACTTGTGCAGGATGAGGAGAGAGAAAAAGGAAGCATTGGAAAAGAAGTTTACTTTTCTTACTTGTCCATTGTGAAAGGTGGTGCCTTTGTTCCAATAATTCTTCTTGCACAATCATCATTTCAAGTTCTTCAGATAGCCAGCAACTACTGGATGGCATGGTCATGTCCCACAGGTGATGCAGCACCAATAGCTGAGAAGATGAACTTCATACTTTTTGTCTATGTGCTTCTCTCTGTTGGAAGTTCCCTTTGCGTTCTAGTCCGGTCATCATTTGTGGCTATAACAGGCCTTCGAACAGCTGAAAAGCTCTTCAGCAACATGCTGCACAGCATCCTTCGTGCTCCTATGTTCTTCTTCGACTCTACTCCTGCTGGAAGAATCTTAAACCGCGTAAGTAACTCAAATTTAGCTGATTGGGATTGGACATGGGGACAGCAGATCAGCTGTAGTATACTTCCCTTGATCTGAAGAAGTGTGGATTCAGCTACGTACTTCACCATTAGATCGCTGATAAATGTCAAAAAGAATTAACTAGTAAGAAACCAGACATGATAACAACTCTTCTTTTGTTTTTCCACTACTGCAATTTGCCTCTGAGAAGGAAAACTGATCAAAGACAGATACTAAAATGATAAGTCAGAGGATACATATCAGTTATATCTCATTACCGCATAAAGCAAGTAGGATCTTTCACTGTACAGTCATGCGGTATCTGAATGTGTAACTCATAAGTTAATCCACAGAAAAGTATCAGAATAAGAAAATCAAGATAATACCATGAAAAAACACAGTGAGCTAATTCTAGCCATAACCTAAAGAACTTAAGGCTGAAATTCAGTTTATTCATTGATGCAATTCCATTGGATCAATCACTCAAGAACATATTATTACATGAACAGGTATCCACAGACCAAAGTGTTTTAGACTTGGAAATGGCAACCAAGTTGGGTTGGTGCGCCTTCTCCATTATTCAGCTTCTTGGGACAATTGCAGTCATGTCACAGGTCGCATGGGAAGTATTCGTCATCTTTATTCCAGTAACAGCAGTCTGCATTTGGTACCAGGTGAGTAAGATGTACAAGTTTTAGATTTCTAAATGCTAATTATATTAAAACAAGAAGATGCTGGTTTGTTTTGGGCAAAGAATTCTAGTGGTCAAGTTAGGGGAGGCTGACACGGCGATAAAACCAAGTTTGCTGCTAAAATAAGTTCTCATCTCCACCTTATAGAAGAGTTTTTGTATACATGATCAAGTGAAGTTTGGGAAAATATTAGTAAAATTATATTTAAAGATCAAAGGATGAACAAACTTTATGTTTGTTGAAGATTACAAAGATTCTTTCTAATTTTTGTAGAATGTTATTTTAAGATATTATTGTTAAAAATGCCAGCAATACTACATACCAACTGCAAGAGAGCTTGCTCGTTTATCTGGAGTTCAAAGAGCTCCAATCCTCCATCACTTTGCAGAATCACTCGCAGGAGCAGCAACCATTCGTGCTTTCAACCAAAAAGATCGATTTGCTCTTGCAAACCTTTGTCTCATAGATGGTCATTCAAGGCCATGGTTCCACAATGTATCAGCAATGGAATGGCTTTCTTTTAGACTGAACCAGCTATCTAATTTTGTTTTTGCCTTCTCCCTTGTTCTGCTAGTCACACTCCCTGAAGGAATTATAAATCCAAGTAAGTATCAGAAATTGCTTTTCCTTCATGTTATTATGTAGAGCACAAGTAGGAAAACCAAGACGTTAAAAGCACAAAACTGATGTCGCTTTATATTCTACAGGCATTGCAGGATTGGCAGTAACGTATGGAATCAATCTGAATGTTTTACAAGCTTCAGTAATATGGAATATTTGCAATGCTGAAAACAAAATGATATCAGTTGAAAGGATTCTCCAGTATTCAAACCTTGCGAGTGAAGCACCTCTTGTGATTGAAAATAGCAGACCATCAAGCACTTGGCCAGAAACTGGAACAATTTCCTTCAAAAATTTGCAGGTAATGATAGTGTCACATAGCTTAGATCAAACTAGACTCAGTTCTGAGGTTTGAACACCTGACATGAAGGGAATGAAGCTCTATTTACCGAAAACTGGCAGCAATATTATATACATGTTTTAAAAAAAAAGTTTTAGCTTGCGTGGCTGAAAGTTTCAACCCTCTGATATCATCACCATATCTCTCTCTGCAGATACGTTATGCTGAACACCTCCCTTCTGTTCTGAAAAACACTACATGCACATTTCCAGGAAGTAAGAAAGTCGGTGTTGTGGGCAGAACAGGAAGTGGTAAATCAACCCTCATTCAGGCCCTTTTCCGGATCGTAGAACCAAGAGAAGGAAGCATCATCATCGATGATATAGATATTTGCAAGATAGGTCTTTATGATTTGAGGTCAAGGCTAAGTATTATTCCTCAGGACCCAACAATGTTCGAGGGAACAGTTAGAGGAAACTTAGATCCACTAGCAGAGCACTCTGATACTGAAATCTGGGAGGTACTTATTGTACCGAGTATTGCACAAATAATTATGCAAAAATGACCACTTAAATTGACAGATTGTCTTATAAGTCATCTTTGCATGGTAACAAGCTAAAAGCACAAAAAACTTGTTAACCCTCTGGTAGGTCTTGTACTTGTTTTGCAAAGTTTAAATGACTGGGTATAAACTTTAACCAACTTCTATATGTAGTCAAGAAAAAAGTTGAAATTAACTTAAATATTGGTGATTCGATTGTGAATAATGTGCAGTAATCTTCTTTTGTCAGGCTCTGGACAAATGCCAACTTGGTGATATAATACGTGCAAAGCCAGAAAAGCTGGAAACTACAGGTGAGACTAGAAATTTCTTGATTAAATATAGTAATTTAAGACTCGGCTTTTTTTTATGAAAGCAATCGCGTATTACTTCTTGAAAGCTACTAATGCGGTCAGTTTAACAGTGGTTGAAAATGGAGAGAACTGGAGTGTCGGTCAAAGGCAGCTTTTCTGTCTTGGAAGAGCCTTGCTAAAGAAAAGCAGCATTCTCGTTCTAGACGAAGCAACAGCATCAGTTGATGCTGCAACTGATTCAGTGTTACAAAAGATTATCAGTCAAGAATTCATAAATCGAACAGTTGTCACAATAGCTCACAGAATCCATACAGTCATTGATAGCGATCTTGTCTTAGTCTTGAATGAAGGTAAATATTAGGATACATCTAATATCTCTCTATCCTCTTGATTTGAATAAGCTGCTAACTTCTTGATTCTAACTATATGAATTCCTTCACTTGTTAACAGGAAGAATAGCCGAATATGACACACCAGCAAAGCTATTGGAAAAAGAGGATTCTTTCTTCTCAAAATTGATAAAGGAGTATTCAATGAGATCCAAAAGTTTTAACAGCTTAGCTAAATTACAGACTTGACCTTGCTTCTCAAAAAGGTCTATATCAGCCTCAGCTACTAGCCTACTGTAGAGGTCAACTAAGCACCCTGACAGTGCTTTTGTAAGCTTAGTTCACCAATCACCATTCATAGGGAGTTGAAATTTTGTAAGCTTTCAGTATAGTAAAGAAGCTTCTCTATTTGAAAGAACATTGCACGCAATATGAAGAAGGATACACACCCCTAGCATTAAAATTCTGTAACATTTGTAAACCATGAATTACTTTTGTTCTTGAAGTTACCAAAAAAATCTGTGTAATCTAAGTTTCACTTTGAGAGAGGTTAAGTTGATGTCGCAAATAAAGAAACTTCCAAAATTCTCACGTGTTACTATCAGAGGGTAGTAACAAACAAAAAGTATAAGTTCAATAAGCAGGCAATTTTTGATATATATGTACTACTCAACTCCGAATAAACAGTTAACAAATTATCGAGCCAATTATCAGGAGAGGATAGGTGAGTGATAGAGGCATAGAAGTAACAACATGGAGATTCGATACTCAAATCCCAATTAAAACACTCAGTGTGAGTCCATCTACTCTAGCCTTGAGAGGTTTACCCTAGAGGCGGAGCCACAGTGTGGGTTACGAGTTCGGCCGAAACCATTAGCTATTCAAATCATGTATTTGTCTTAAAATTTCACTAATTATGTACAACTAATTAATTTGAACCCAGTAACTTAAAATGATTAGAATCTCGAACCCATAAGCTTGAAATTCTGGCTCCGCTCTGGACTTTACCCCAGAACTTTGATTTTCCATAGAGTTAAAAAAGCATTGTGCTTGAGCAACAAAAACTTAACAGTTTCCAGCATTGAACGTCCACAGCAGACCAAAAGATCTTCCTACTTCATGCATGGGCGCCGGAAAATTACATGTAGATGTTGAATGTCTTTGACTTCATGGTATGTTTTCTTCTTTATATTTTGAATTACTATTGACTTCATGCCTCCCACCCAAGGGCAGATGTAGAGTTCAATGTATGGGTTCATCCGAAACCCAGTAGCTTGACTCGGACTGTTCGGTAAATCTAAAAGTGCAATGAATTGAAGAAATTCATCAAAGATCAACTCATCTGTGTCTAAATTGTTACAAGGAATCTGAGAGATAATCGAGTTTTACCTGAATGAATCAAAACAAGAGGGGCACCCAACTATATACGCACTTGCTCCATCAGACTTTGACTTGAAAATGCAAATGGATTGACGATTTCCATCGGCAGTAAAGCCTATAGCAATTCCAATGGTCTGTATTTTCTGTGGGAACGTAGAATGAGATTTGAGAATCGATGATAACCATAAGAGGTCGACGCTGTGTGAAATTTGCACTTAGTTTTTTTTTTTTTTTTAAACAGCTTGTTCGCATGGTTATAATATATGGTATTGTAATGTATCGTCGGATAATACAACATTTGGATATATTATATTATTTACCGTCATTTTATAATATCACGCACTAACAATACGAAAAATAAACTTGTTTACCCTTAAAAATGAGTAACAATTGAATTTATACGCGGTTTAAAGGATACGTGATTTAATTCGAGAACAACAAATAATTAGACTAAAGTGAGAATGAACTATCAAACCATAATGAACTATCAAACCAATCGTAATGGAACAATCAAGCCCGGTCTTAAGCTGAACACTAAAATCCGGCCTCGATCGAACCCTCGATATGAGCTCGGTTGCAATTAAAGAAGAGAGTAACTAAAGAACACTTTGAATAATAGCTAAAAGACAAAAATGAACTTNATGTTCCCCCGAAGCCCGAATGAGGTCAGGTTTCGATAACAACTCTGAGTTGCTTAGGCTTCGAAATACCTGATAAAAAATGAAGACTTTAAGATACTTGAATGTTTCAATCGTACACGATGGTGTTTTGCTGAGGGCGACCTTTTAATAGGTTTTAATCTTATGTAAGGACCTTACTTTCTGATTACGGACTTGGACATCTCCGAGCCGTTTTGAGTTGGCCGTAGCCTTTCGTGTTCGGGCCCTGCCTAATAGGCTCGGTGCCTCCGGGATTCGATAGCTCGAGTTGTCCGATCTTATTATCGGACAACAGTCCCCGACTCGGGGAGGCCCATAGGCTCTAGGATTTAGGATCTGCTATTTGTTCTAAGTAAATCAACGTATATATCGATGGTGCACATGTGACGTGATAAAATATAAGGGAAAATTTCTTTCATTACTTTGTATGTAGAGTACATAATTAGAGGCGCATAAGCTTTCTGCCATGGCAAGAATGAGCTACATGGGTACAGTTCGTTTGACCGTTTGACACTTACAACAAACTATAATAATCGAGCCTTGGCTTTTAATATCAAATAAGAACACCTTCAAAGGATCCTAACTTAGGGCATAATGCCCCCCCTCCCCCCAGTATTTGAGACTAAGCTTGTGAGGGCTCAAATTCTATCGGTCCAATATGGGTGGTCAACAATTCTGGCCTTAGGCCGGTCTTCGAAACTAAGGTAGCACGTTTTACTGTTGCCTCGTTAAAAAACTTGCCATAAAACCCACTTCGGAAAAAATTGGTCTAAAGGAAAAAGAGTACAACACGTGCTTTCAGACCTAATTGTCAAATTTATCCTCGACCGAGTACCTACATAAGTTAGTCCAAAGCATAACAAATTTCAAAGGAAATTGTGTTCATACCTTAGCAGTAGTACCGCTTTAAGTGTGCCACATTCCAGTTGTTCGGTAGTTGCACACCGTTCTCTGACTCAAGCTTATATGAACCTTTTATGATTATTCAGGCAACTCTATACGAACCTTCCTAGTTCGAGCCTAGTTTTCTGTCATTTGGGTTCTTGGTGTGTAGCGTAACTTTCCTTAATACCAAGTCCTCGACTTGGAAATGTCGAAGGTTAGCCTTTCGGTTTTAGTACCTCCCCATTCGCTGCTTTGGGCAGCTAACCGGACCAGGGCAGCTTCTCGCCTTTCGTACAATAAGTCCAAACTCGTGGCCATGGCCTTGCCGTTTGACGTCTCAGTAGTATATTGGAACCTTAGGATTGGTTCCCCCACCTCGACTGGGATTAGAGCTTCCGCACCATAGACTAAAGAGAATGGGGTCTTACCGGTACTTGACTATGAAGTCGTTCGATATGCCCACAAGATTTCAGGAAAGATTTATTTTCACTTTGCCTTTGAATCGGTCAATCTCTTGTTCAAGTTTTGGAGTAGTTTTGTTTGTTGACTCCACTTGTCCGTTCCCACTAGGGTGGTAAGGTGTAGATAAGATCTTTTTAATTTTGTGGTCTTCGAGAAACTTACTTACCTTGTTGCTGATGAACTGCTTCCCATTGTCGCAAACAATCTCAGCCGGTATCCCGAATCAGCATATTATATGATCCCAGATAAAGTCGATGACCTCTTTCTCCCGAACCTTCTCGAACGCCTGAGCTTCGACCCACTTGGAGAAATAATCGGTCATGAGTAGTATGTATTGGGCTTTACCGGGCGCCCATGGCAGGGGACCGACGATGTCCATCCCCCGTTTCATAAAAGGCCATGGCGATAGGACCGGGTGAAGCATTTCCCCTGGTTGATAAATCATCAGGGCATGTCTTTGGCATTCGTTACATTTTCGTACGAAGTCTTTTGCATCCTTCTCCATCTCGTTCCAGTAGTAACCAGCTCTGATCAATTTCCTAACCAAGGATTCTTCGCTCGGGTGGTTTTCACAAGTGCCCTCGTGTACTTCTCTCATGGCGTAGTCGGTCTCCCTCGAACCCAAGCACCTAGCTAGTTTCCCGAAAAAGGATCTTCTGAATAATTTTCCCTCGACCAAGCCGAACCTGGCAGCTTTAGCACGTAGGGCTCTTGACTCTTTGGGATCCGATGTCAATTTTCCTTTCTCCAGGTAGTCTATGTATTTGTTTCTCCAGTCCCAAGTCAAGCTTGTTGAGTTCACCTCTGTGTGACCTTCTTCTACCACCGATTTAATAAACTATACTACTGCTCCGGAGTCGAATTCATCAGCCTCGATATTTTGATCCCGATGTACGTATTGTAGAGTCCATTCCTTGAATTGGTGTAAGGTTACCTGCAACTTATACAAGTATCTCCGCATCCATTCCTTTTTTACTACAAACGTCCCATTGACTTGGTTCATGACAAGGAGGGAGTCACATTTTTCCTCGATCACTTTGGCCCCCTGACGAGCTCAAAACACACACCTAAATATGCTCGCTAGTCAAAGATAGAATAGAAAATTATCCTTTCCACAGGGATTGGAGTTAAACAGTATTTTCGTATCTTGTAGCTAGATTTCTATCAAAGATGATCAACAATTGAGATTATATGATTAAGAACTAAAATTAACTAAGACTCTAGATCTAATTGACTAATGACAATTGAACAAAATTAAGCAAAGAAGATATCAATAGGAGAAAATAGGAGTTGATTGGATAGGTGCAAGATAATTGTCTGGGATTTAACTCTCATTAATGCACTTCTAATGTTCAAATGAGTTTCTCAAATGCACTCAATTATTAGTTCAAACGTTTAGTAGAAACTCCTCTCTCGATTAAGTCTCAACCTCGCAATATGAAGCAATTTATGCTCGGTGAAGATATGCACGAATTCATAGTGGACTAGCCTTTAGGAGAACCTCTTTCAATTATTTTCCTAACTAGGTATAAACAATAATTCAACTAGCCTCTTTCGATTACTAAGAAGAATTAATGAATTCAACCAAGAAGATGATGCAAAAATATCACAAGTTATGCCTCTCTCGATTACATGAACATGTGAATATAGATGCAATAATTAAATCACCCAACACAATTCAATACATAAAAACTAGAGTTAATATCCACAAACAATCATCAAAACACCAAATCTATCAATCCCTAAAGAGAACCACTCCATAGATATGGAGTAATTCATCACAAATATAAAGAAAAACATTAAACGATCCAAACTCTTGTCTTGAGTGAGGATTGAATGATAAATTCCTTGTGCTTTGGCTTCTCCACCTTCTCTCTAGTCTCCTTAGGTCTTAGATGTATCAAAAGTTCAAAAAACACTGTTTTCCATGTATTTATACCAAATAGGGTCGGGCCTAAATGAAATCACCATTTCTTAGTCGAAATAGAAAAACTTGTAAACTTATTGTATTTCATGCGTCACACTGTGCGTGGCATTAGTGCTTTTTCCTGACATACCCCAAAAACTCAGTCTCTGAAGTTTGCTATTTTTGACAGATTTTTACCCTGATGCGTCACACTGTGCGTCGCCTAGTGCGTCATACCAGTGCATTTTTTTAGCAGATTATTCTTCCTTGAATTTTGACGCCCAAAAGTGATCCTCGACCCTCGAACACGATTATGGCTTATTCCTTTGGGCTTTTACTCAGACTTCAAAGCTCAAATTAGCTCGAATTAGTTTCATAACATCTACATAGCCCGAAATTACCCCTACAAGGCATAAAATGCATAATTAGTGCAAAACACTAGCAATTAACGTTCAAACTCAATTAAAATACAGTAAATTGGAATGTAATAAGCGACTAAAATACAAGATTATAGCCTACCATCAACACCCCACACTTAAACCATTACTCGTCCTCGAACAATCACACCTCACTTTATATAGACACAACCTTACTAAGCAACTCTCCTAACTCATTACACCGAGAATATTTAAAATAGACTAAGCACAATAGTGTAACATCTTCACTTCAAGAATTGACTCAAAAGCACCATGCATTATTTACAACTCACCCACTTACTCTAATATAGAGGTCAACAACATTGCCTTTCCTTCATGAATCTAGTGCCCTCACAATAATAGAAAGTAGTTCCACACATAATAAAAGTTAAGAATAATTAGGAACTCAAGATAGAAAGAATTCACTCATTCTCAGAAACAACATTCATATGCCACAAAGGATGCACCATAGGCTTGCCTGTAGTATACTACTCAACTAATCGAGCCCATTCAGTCAAGGATCAAATATGACTTTTATTGGTTGTAATATAAGCTGCGGGACGGGTATGATACATTTAGATATAAGAATGACTACACCTTCCTAAGCACTTTAATACATATATTTCATTGTTCGAAACCCCACACTTATGTAAAACCATAACTCCACCTTCACATCAATATACATTAACTCCCAACTTATTTAAGCACAATTACATCATAAGTAACCACTATCAAGGAATATTTTTTCACAATCGTACAATTAATCTCTTTCTTTTTTCTTCTTTTTTTTTTCCTTCAATTCAAGTGGCTCTTACTTTTTTAAAACAGTGCACCTTTTTCATTATTTTAATAGTTCCACTCGAAAGCTCAACCAACACCCCACACTTTAACT